ACACACACACACACACACACACACACACACACACACACACACACACACACATTCTGGCATGCACCCTTAAAGTTGGCTACTGCGTGCCAGAAACTTACGAATGATTACCGTTGTGACTTCAATTGGCACGCAGTAGCCAACCTGAAGTCGGACACGCTAACATATGCACAAGCAAACATGCATAACAAATGCACACACACACACAGGCATATACAGAAAGACACACACACACACACACACACACACACACACACACACACACACACACACACACACACATTTTGGCATGCACTCTTAAAGTTGGCTACTGCATGCCAGAAACTGACGAATGATTATCATTGTGACTTCAAATGGCACGCAGTAGCCAACCTGAAGTCGGACACGCTAACACATGCACAAGCAAACACTCATAACAAATGCACACACACACACAGGCATATACAGACACACACAAACACACACACACACACACACACACACACACACACACACATTCTGGCATGCACCCTTAAAGTTGGTTACTGCGTGCCAGAAACTGACGAATGATTACCGTTGCGACTTCGAATGGCACGCAACAGCCAACTTGGGAACAGACACGCAGACACACGCACAGACCATTCATACACACACATCCATAGACATATACACAAAGACACACAGACATCCACATAGGTTCATACATAGACGCCACACACACACACACACACACGCACACACACATGTCGATGGCGTCATTGTGCGTTTCCGCTGGCAGAGAGAAGAGGAAGAAAGACAAACCGTACGCATCATGTCGATGTCAGTAGCACAGGTGGAGGCTGCTCTTGCAGAGGTAATGAAGTATGCAAAGGAGGGCGTCCACTACAATGGTGACAGCGAGTTGTCTTTGCTTCAGGACAGGGTGCCGAGGTACTTCATAGTCGCTATGGATGTGAGATCCACAATCATGGCAAACGGCGAGGGCTGTGTCAAAGCACGAACACTCTTGCAACACTTCAGAGAGTCACCACATGTACGTGTGGACAACGATGTGGAAGACAGTGCATACAGTCTAAAAGGAGTGGTCCAGTGGATCTGCAGCGAAGGGATGTGCGAAGAAGAAGACGTGGACATGACAATGCAGCAGACAGGGGGGACATATACACCTGCGAACTTGGACAAGTTGCTGGACACTGTCGCACGGAATGGGGGAATGCTGGTTGATGGGTCGAAGGACGAGTTGAAGAGTGGTGCTGCAGAAATATTGGTGTTGTCCAGAATGAAGGACATTACACAAACACCGCCAAAAGACTTTCAAGATGTTCCTGTCATTGTTGACTCCATGAAAAAGAATGACGACGACAGGAACGTCATCCATGAGGCGTTGCACGAAGTGATAGAGTTTGCACTGCAGGGTCAAGATCTGATAGAATTTGTGCCAGCAAGAACAGAAGTTAACATCATATTTGGCAGACCGTTGTCGGGGGAGTTGTTATCAGCTGCTTTGGAGCGGCTCGGTCTTGCAAGCTACGATGTTGAGAGACAAAGAGAAAGAGAAGAAGAGTGGAAGGTAATGGCCACGGAAACAAATTTAGCAATCATTCTAGACAACAGACAGACATCAGCAGCACAAGAATAAATAACCAGTATGGCAGTCGATGTGCCTCCCATGCAGACGGTAACGAGAGAGGAGTTGGTGTGTTGCGATATTTTCAATGCTTTCACGATGGAGAAAGAACAGTGTAATCGTGGATTTGAAGAGGCCGATTTGCCAAGTTGTTGTGCAGAGTAAACAGACAGTGTAGAAGAAGAAGATGAAGAAGAGGATGAGGGGGCATCATCTTCTGATGTGGAAGTGAGCGGCAGCGATGTCAGCAGCGACGAGGCAGATGAGGAACATAATGTATACTATGATTTGAAGGCGGCGGGTGGACAAGTGACAAAAGGGTGGGCACATGCAATTCTAAGTTTGGCACGTGTTTTTCCCGATCCGCACAAAGTGCTGCGTGTTGTGATGAAGGGGGCAACACTAGATGGTGCACTACAGTATGCCGCAGTGACCCGCATAATGAAATCATGCAACAAGGGAAAAAAGTGGTCATGTGTTGGCAAGGGATGGTTTGTTCTGGTCAATAGAGAGGCTGTGCTAGCAACGTCACTGACATGGGGAGTCAACCTGAGTTGCCTCATACACGGCGCAATAGCCACAGCTTGGGGAGAGACATTGCACCCCGACTTGTCAACAGGAGACGCAATACTTAGTGCTCGGCCACGGCAGCGACCGGAGACACACCCACACACCACGACAGACCATGTTAGACATCAGGGACGATGATAGACTTGCATCCCTCAACCTGTACATTCCTTTATGTCTGCCTCGATTTCAACGACAGTCGGGTTCGCTACTGCGTACCATATCAGTGTCCACCGGTGCTGTTTGTTGTCGTTTTGGCCCGCACTAGTGAACCTCCTCTCTTTCTACTCTTTCTCTCTCTCTATATATATATATATACATATATATATATATATATATATATATATATGTTTCTCTCTCTTTCTCATATGTCGAGTTGTAGCTATATTAGAACCTCTACATCCATCTGCGGATTACATTTAATGTTACCTGTTGTTTGCTTCTCCAAGTACATGCGGTTCACTACAGCGTGCAGACACAGGATTTAACAATATTTGAATCATTTGATGATTGTTACGATGTATGTCATAATTTGTTGCCTTTTGGAGTACGTGAGACACATCAGACCCCCTGTGATGACCAATGTGTGTATGTTGTGTTTTTTTTTGCATTCTCTGTAATTTAAATTCAAATGTAGTAGGTTGTGAAATGTTTTGGAAGTTTGTGCGGAGGTCGGCTGAGGTGCCGAGGTGCAATCATTTTCACGTGGATATGGAAAACACATACCACATTCACAAACGTTGTGGATGGATAGTTACGAACTTGGGCAGCCGCACAAACGTGGTGATGAATGTTGTGTCATATATCGTGTACCATGAGTAAGTCGTTGCCTCTTCCTACACGACCATAGAACCTGTCATGGCATATAAATTATAGTGTCGCACGGTTGACTACTAATCTTTGTCAATTGGGATCAGCAACACAGACCATTCGTACCAAAAACGATAATCAGTACTCCCTTTCTATCTCTTTCTCACAGAGAAGAGGATGTGCGACACTTACACAATATAACAAAATATGCTCTGCAACGTATAATTCTAACGACCTGAACCAATGTACAAAATGTTAATGAAAACACTTTCCGCACCGCTCTGTTTGTTTTTGGAATGCACTGCGTGCATAGAAAATGGACAGCGGTCCACGGGTGTGCGACTGTGGCAGGCCTTTCATGTCATTACGAACTTTGAACTCACATCGTGCGAGGGCATGCCCGGCCGTGGCGGACGAAAGAACACATGGCCAGGAGATGGGTGTGGTTGATGACGTCGGAGCATCAAGCATAGGTGCAGTGAATCTCGTGAGTGATGAGAGCGAGGACGTCGGGGCCCCCGAGAATATAGACGGGGAGGACGGGACGTTCGAAGAGCAGTAACCGCAACCTGTCGAATCTTTTGACAGCTCTCGCAAGCTGGCGGCACTGATTTTCTCCGCCAGGCCAGGGGCGACGTCGGTATGTCGCAGAGCGACATAGATGCTCTCTTGTCACTTCTCACGGACCCGAGATTCTGCATGAGAGACATCGCGTATCGTAATAGTCGAGAGTGTTTGACATGGGCAGGGAGTCTAGCAGACGCTGCTGGATGGAAAGAGTCGGATCTACGTTGTAACGATTGGCCACGGGATGCGCACGCCATCTTGTGGCACCGCGACTGGCGAACGACATTTCTGTCGATTTTTCATATCGAATTACAGAAATGAGATACGGTGTCTTCTCTAGAAGTGTCTCCGCCGTTAAAGCACCTCAGTATATCCGGCTCACGCAGCGGGGCGCTAAGTTATCACATCCAGTCGATCATTCGAGCGGACAAAGGTGTGGACGGGAATGGTAATCCACTATATGTTATCCATCTTTCATTGTATTCCGACGAGACACATACAGACGGTCTTCAAAAATAGACGGCGTACCCTCTGATGATGTCACTAGCCGACCGCGCATCCGAAGCCACACTGCTGGCCTATCTTCTCGTGCTTCATCATCGTCCACGTGACAAAGGATGGGGTCTGCAGTCCACCGCATTCAGAAAGCGAAAGGCCATCATTTTGCACAAGGCCCTTTCAGTGGTGTTGCAGTCTGCGAAGGAGGCATCTCATGACGGAATAATGATACTGACAACGCGATTCGGGGACATAACTGTCCACCCTTTCCTCCTCAAATATATCCAGGACTACCCAGAATGATGTGCGATTGCAACTGTGAAGTTTGGTGTATGTCCGACATGCACCGTGTCCAAAAATGATTTTGATGTCATAGCCGATTTCACAGACTGCACGAGATCACAGACGCTGGAAACACACCTCACAGCAGATGTGTTCACCGCCGACGACATCGACGTTCGATGTGCAACGGAAGCACGAATGTCGGAGTTGAACATGCATAGGCATGTTCAACAGAACGGGCTTTCGGGGTTCTACAGGGGCCCCAATGGTGACGATCCTCAGCTAGACTACTATCTGGCATTGCAACCAGACCGTATGCACGGCATATTCCTGCACATGATTGACGCATTCAGGACCGCAGCCTTTGAGAAGTTTCCGCACTTACCGTAAACAGAGATCCTGAAGGAACTAGATGCAAGGTTGCAAAGCGTTAGTGAGAGATGCACGCGAACATACCCCCAACTTGTGTTGTCGGTGGCCACTGGCAGCGACTTTTTTTCGAGGGAGGGACGGTTCGAGGCGAAGCAAAACCGGTTTGTGATGACAGTGTGCGTGTTCCTTATTTCTAATATTATACCGCGCTCGACAGGCAAGGGCATTACCATTTGTTTTGTGAAACTGATGGAAATGTACATACGAGTGTCTCGGTGTACAACACACAGTCGTGCTTCGCTCGATGAATGCGACGCTTTGATCACGGACTTCGTAACGACCATCAAAGGAAAATTGAAAAAATATCAACCATCAACATGGAAACTCCCCAAGTTGCACGATCTCATGCATCTGACAACGTGTATTGAGCGATCTGGTGTCCCCGGCATCTTCGCGACAAATGTTTGGGAGCATCACCACAGGAAATTCTGCAAACAGCCATACCTGTCATCAAACAAGCGAAAAGCTTCAACCCATATTGTAAACCATGTGCGCCGGTTATTGGCGTTGTGCGAAAAGATCGGGATCGTGAAGAAACTGAGGAAGAGAACGGTTGAGAACCAGTCGTCCGTGACAGACTGTATGGCCACCGGAATGGACACCCTCGCACTACGCGATACGACAATGCTGCAACTGCGGTGGTTCGACATCGATGACGAGTACATACGCGAGGGAGAAAGCATTGACAACCATGCATGTAAGAAACTCGAAGAGCTTCCTTACAGACGCGATTTTCGAGCTGCGCTTACGACATACATGGTAGAGAATGATTGTCAACCTCCTTCTGACGACCTTCTTATACACACACGGACACACCTGACCATCGCTTGCGTACAGGACGGAACAAACAGAGGCACACTTGTTCAAACTGCAAGAGCGTCGCCACAGTTCCATGGGAGACCAGTGCACAGTGACGTCGCAATTAGAGCAGGCAACGAATGCACATAGTTTGCATCAGTAGCCATGTTTTTTGTCGTGGATGCACCCGCGGACAGCAGTAATATGGAACTTAGCAGCGGATTCGTGCAATGGTACAAGGAGGTCGACAGTGAACGACAACACATGACAGGTTGCAAGTTGAAATGAGAGAAGTTGAATGGACATCAACACAGTAGCGTTGTTTCGACCGACACTATTGTAGACATAGTTCACATTGTTCCGCGCTTCTCTAAACCACAATGGGAATCGAAGCAGCATGCAAAACAGCGTGAGGACTGTTTTTTATTTGAACAAGTACATATTGTACAAAAAACAAATGCAAACTAAGTTTCTATGTTTGCTTAGAGAGAGAGAGCGAGAGTGTGTTTCTATCTGTCGTCTCCACGGGACAGTCATGTTGTTTCTTCCGAAGTATAGGGGAACAAGAGAGGACATTCGTCTCTTTCTTTCTGTTATTTGTTGAGAAATATCATGTCAAATGTGGCCAAGCTCATGAAGCGGTGAAAACCACATGCGAGACGAAAGTGTCCCCAAAAGTGCACTACTGCGTGACATTTACGTGGTCAACAATGATAGTCGTTTCAGTTTTAGCACGCAGTACCCAACTTTTATGTCTCTCTCTCTCTCTCTCTCTCTCTCTCTCTCTCTCTCTCTCTCTCTCTCTCTCTCTCTTTCTCCGAAGTATCCTATAAAAACGATTTGAAGTTGTTAAAAAAATTAACAAATCGTCTGTGTCATTCCAATTTGACCGACACGTGTGAACAGGAACAGAAACTTACGACGTCGCGCAGCGTTCGGGAAGGAGCGACACAAAACACTGAATAACAGGGTGCACGTAAGAGAAGCCGAGTGAGGATGACAGAGTCACAAAAAAGTAACACGTGTGTTGGCGGCGCGAAGTGCTCATATGTGGGTACGGAACTGGTCATCGGTCCAAGGATGGAAAATAAAGACGAACAGCACCGCAGAGAGGTGGCAAGCGAACCGTTGTTGTCATTGACCAGTGAGAGGTCAGCAAAGAGGTGGCAGAAAATGTTGAGGAACCCTTGGTACTCGGAAATGTACGATATAATGACAGAGGGTGAAGCAAAGTCTCCCCAGTTGATAATCGAAGCACTAAGGAAAAAACGAAAGTTGGGGACATGACGAGAACGAGAGAAGAGCAGACTGACATTAATGATGACGACGAATTGACCATTGGCTTAACTGTTGAGGTCGTCAATGGACGATGCGAGGAAAGTTCACTACTGCGGGCATTTTTTACATAAAGACCAGTGGCTTCACCAGTTGATTGACCCGCAGTAGCCAACCTTCTCGCGGTGATAGTCGGGGACATGTTCCAAGTTTTTCTTTGCTTTTTTTTTTTTTTTTTTTTTTTGACATGTGAACCCGTGCCGCCTGACAATACGGATACAGTCATTCTGACGCACAAAGAGGTTGGTAACTTAAATGACGTTGCACTATCAACAATAAGATCTTGGATGTGCCTCTCTCTCTCTCTCTCTCTCTTTCTCTCTCTCTCTCTCTCTCTCTCTCTCTCTCTCTCTCTCTCTCTCTCTCTCTCTCTCTCTCTCTCNCTCTCTCTCTCTCTCTCTCTCTCTCTCTCTCTCTCTCTCTCTCTCTCTCTCTCTCTCTCTCTCTCTCAATGCGGCCATTACACTTCAGGGGTGTAGGGATCGACGCACGACATTGCTGACGCAGTTGTTGTTCGTATTCCACTTTGATGTATGTGGGGGAAAAATGGTCATGGCTCCAAAGCCAAAATACGAGGATCTGAGCAGGTCTTTGAAGGCTGTGGGAAAGAAGGACAAAAGGAGGAAGAAATGCAAGGCTGATAAGAAAAAAGAAAGGAGAGAGCATCGCAGAAGCGGATCCTAGGTGGATCCCAGAATGCAAAAACGGAGCGGACCAGCAGCCGCAAAAACGGATCAAAAATTTCTCTCCCATCAAGTCAGAGGGGGATTTCAAAGTTGAAAGAACGCAATGAGTCACCCCCTGCGACTCCTGCCCCACGGAACCGTGCCAGCGACGTCGAGAACCGTCCACCCAAGGCCCCCGAGAAGAGGTCGCGGGAAGACGGAATGTCAAAGGTGCACCGCAGGACAAAGAAGAAAATCACATACAAAAAGGACAGAATGGTGGAGATGATCGATCTGAAAGCCTCGGACGATATGCACAGTGCGGCCCGAGAGGAAGCAGAAGAGGAACACGACCAGTCCATATCAGAAAAGTATGACAGGGAGAAGAACGAGGCAACAAGTGACGAGGGAGGTGACAGTGAAACTTCCGACGGACATTCTCGCGAAACTCACGATGCTGATGACGAGGACGACAGGAGCAGCGACGGCACAACGCAGGACGAGGGCGGTGTCGGACAAAATACCCTTACAAGGGTATTTTGCCATGTCTTTGCATTTGACACAGTAACGACACCGGCTACCATGACGGAGCCAGTCTGGAATAAAGGGGGTGTGCACGCTTGGCGTGACACTGGGAGCAAAATTTCTCAGCCACTGAGGCCGGGGCAGAAATCGGTGAGAAAATTTCCTGTGTGTGCTCGTTATTATGACGAGCGTCATGGCGATGAGGATCGGTAGTAATACCCCTCGACAGAAAGAGGTCGAAGGGTCAGTTGGGTTGATGATGTGTCACGTAGATCTACGATGCGCACTGAGACTTGGTCTGGTACCTGTCTATCTACCGGTACTAGGGATTTAAAAATTTTTAACAACTCGGCCTCCGAGTTGAGTAACCGCCACAATATACCTCACTGAGGTGAGGTACCGATCCGCCCGCTACTTGAATGTCGTCCGTCTCACTTAAGATGTAGCGGACGTCGTTTTTTTTTTTTTTTCCGCCTCAACCTCGAATGGAGCGGCCATATCCAAGCACCGGCCTGCCCGCCGCTAGAATGTTTTCCCCGCCGCGACCCTCGAGTGTCGCGGCCATAGCAAGGAACCAGCCTACCGCCACTAGAATATTCCCCCCCTCGACCTTTAATGTCGGGGCCACGGCTAAGTACCAGTCTTTGGGGCTTTCGACCGACCAAGTGCTCTCGCGGGTCGCACACGCTCTCAAGCCGACAAGCACTCAGACTGACGCACAGACCGGCAGGCGGGTGCGCGCCTCACAGATCTAGAAATAGGCTCGGATCAGTAGGCGGACCGAGCCTCACTACTCTACAAATAACCAAGCTGCTCCTATTGACATTGAGTTAGGAGCTCGCTTAGTGGGATGTGGTGTGGATTGGCAATTAAGTGATCCAGGGGTCGAATCCATCCGGCCCGCAGCTAGCTGTTTTTGCAAGGGGCTCTCTTTTCGTCCGTGTTCAAATGGTCGGGGTTCGAACCGGTGACCTTGACGTTAGAAGTGGTTGGGGTTAGATGATTTGGGCTCCTCCCCGTGACAGGTACCCGACAGTTGGCGCGACGGGGCGGATAGAAGTTAGATTTTCTTTTATTTTTCTTATTTTTGTTTGTGTTAGTTAGATTTTGAGGCTGTTGATCCAAAAGATTCACTATTTGTGAATCTCGCCTCAGAGTCCGGGCAGATTCGGCGAGGAGTTGAGTCCCAGTAGACCGAAGTCGCCACAGCTCTGGGCCTCCCGCGGAGAACGTGCGACGGCAGGGTGCAGCCCATGCAAAAGAGGACAGACGCAGGGATAGCGGACGCGAACGAACGAGGTAGCGCAAGGAGTGAGAAGAAGGAGAAAGGAAGGCGCGAAGAAGGAGAAGACGAAGGGGGAAAAGAGAAAGGGAGGAGCAGGCAAACATGCAGATGTGAGGCCGAGCCGACAAAAGGGAGTGAAGCGTGATCGCAAGCAGAGATAGCGCGGCTCGGCTAAGAGTGCACGGGGAAGAAAAGCATGTGAAAGGAAGCAAGCGCGGAAAAAGAAGTGTGCATGCAAGTAAGAAAGGAAACGTGAGGGTGGAGCATGCGGTAAGATGAGAGAGGAGGAAAGGTAGAGAGAAGAAGAAGTAAGGAGGAGAGAGGGAGGAAGGAGAATACTTACCTCGTAGGCAACCGCTGTTCGCCATACGCGAGGACATAAGCTTGTGGGGAATGCGGTGCATCCACAGGCGGTAACGACACTGGCAGATTGAAAACTACGACGCCAACTACTCTAACTCCGAAGACGAGAGACGCAAGAAAAAAGAACGGGTAAGTCTCTCCCTCGCAACCGATCCTCCATGCCATCAGTAGTAAGTAGGTGTGTGTGTGCGGGCGTGTGTGTATGAGAGAAGAAAGAAAGAGTTATTCTTCTTCCTCTTCTAAGTCCATCACCTCTTCTTCACCCTCTCCCTACATTACTTCTTATCATGTGCGGACTACGGGAGAGAGAGAGAGAGAGTAAGAGGAGAGAGAAGGAGAGGGGAAAAGACTGTTTACCTCATCCAAGTATGGAGATATATCGGATGTACGATACATCCGCCAACGACGTCGTTAGGCTGGATCCGTCATCGCCCGACTAGTTGGGGTGCGCACTTGCACCTGCCGTGTCTCCCGCGTGCCGTGATCCCTGCACGCTGCGCATCGTGATGGATCAGGGAGCATCAAACGAGCGATATGGATGGAGAGAAGGAGAGAGAAAGAGGGAGAGGGAAAGGAAATGGAGAAGGGGGGAAAGGAAATGGAGAAGGAGGGAAAGGAAATGGAGAAGGAGGGAAAGGAAATGGAGAGGGAGGGAGAGGAGATCGAAGAGGGAGAGAAGGAGAGGGTGAGAGAGGAGATGGAGGAAAAGAGAGAGAGAGAGAGAGAGGAAAAGGGAGACTTACTTACCTGTCTGATCGTCGACGTTCTCTGCTGCCGCTGTGTACTAACGTACCCTCATTTCCGACTGTATCAGACAGGAGAGATGGCTTGTACTCGTATTATATTATTTATTATTATTGTTATTACTATTATTATTATTATTATTATTATTTTATTACTATTATTGTGATTATTACGATTGATCTTAGTACCTGCATTCTAGCCATGTACGTACGAAGGAATCGGTACAATAGGGAGAAGATGTGGGGACAGCGGTGAGAAACGAGCAAACATAGCACACACAAAAAGACAAACTGCGAACTGCGCGCTGGGGTGGGACGTGCAACAACAGGGAGACGAAGAAAGCACGGGAACAGAACAAGAAGGAGATGACAGCAGGAGACAGTCGTGGGAAAAACAAACGAAAGAGAGAAAGGCGACCGAGATAAAGAAGGAGATAATGTGGAAATGTCGGAGACTGAGAAGAGGGAGGTGAAGAATAGGGGCGAAAGGCTGCGGACGGAGTGAGGGAATGGGAAGAAGTTGAAAACGAGAAGAGGAGGATAGGAGGTAGGAAGGAAGGGCGTATGAAGATTGGGAATACGTTCATTGTCGCGCGCACCTCTCACTTGCAGCTGCGCGAGTTCGCCTTGAGTTTGGGAAGTGTATCCTCCTGATTTCTCATTGAAGATTCATTCTTACTCCACTCTGCTAGGGAGTATTCAAGCGCAGCCTACAGACCGAAGTGATGCCGCCATGCATATTTCCACACACTTACTGAAGGTTCGCTTCCGCCCCTCTTCACCTGGTCGGTATGACAGGAGGATCCTCACAATGTTCATGGTGTTGATGATTGACATTTTGGTGTGCCCGCTTCACAACCGGCGAGTTGTGCTGCTGTCTGAATCGCAGAGACTGTGTGAACCGAACCAGGGATGATGGCTAGGCTTACTGTTTTCAGCCCCAACCTTGTTTTGCCGCACGCACACACACTCACAGAAGACACAGTGAGAAAGAGAGAGAGAGAGGGAGAGATGGTGACACGTGGCAGAACAAGGTTGTGAGTGAAGCAACATACATACCTGATGCTTGATGCGACGACGTGGTCCGAGATCAGCTCGTACTTCAGGGAAGCTGTTGTCAACCACATTTACACTGTAGTTGTAGGCTAGATAGGATCTGTCAGTAGTAACCTGGGCTCGTGTGTAGGATGACGGTTGATTGTTGAAGTCCGCTGTTGCTCTTTTTTTTTCCATTTATTATTATTATTATTATTATTATTATTATTGGTTGCACCATAGGGAGGGTGCACGTAGCATCTGTAAATTGGGGAAGCGAGGTTGGAAATGAAGAGAGAGTTCTTCTTCTTCCTCTCACTAGTCCACCATCTCTCCTTCCCCTCTCTGCCTACTTCTCAGTATCTGTGGACTACGAGAGAGAGATATGACCTGAGGCTTGACGACATTGGATTCAGGCTTGACATTGGGTTTCAGACATTTGACGAGGGATGACTTGGTGTTGACGACATTCCCATCTCTGCCCCCTCTTCTTCGTCTGTTTCCCTCCTCTTTGTCTGTGCATGATCTGGACTTGGCGTATTCTTCCTGTGTGTAGCACCAGGCCCCTTCACACCTTGTGATAAGGATGATGTATGTTTGGTCTGCGTTGCAACATCGATTGGGCTAGTCGTTGGTATTCTAGCATTTTGATGCGCTGTCTTGCACTACATGATAGAGGTCACTCCTGGTCAGGTCAGGGTTTATAGCCAAGTCTTCCACTGCGCTACAAAGCACTTTATTTTATGTATCAGGATGTACACTGCTTGTTGAGATTCCATTTGCACTGCATTGTCCATTTTAGTCCTTTTTTATCACATGCGGACCCTGGACTATGGTGTACATCGCCCATCAGGGGAATGTAACAGAGAGGGAGAGAGAGATCTAAAGGAGGATGAGGGAAAGGAGGACAGACAGATAGAAGATAAAGAGAAGGGAAGATTGAAGGGAAAGGAGGAGAGAAAAGGTCGAAGAGAGAATGGGAGGAAGAAGATAGGAGGTAGAAGAGAGAGAGGAAGAGGTTGTGAAGAGAGAGAGAGATGTACCTAAGTTGTGAGGAGATCGGCATTGGTGTTGACATCATCGCTCGCTGGTCGTCAAGTTGTCTGGTTACTTTCATGCTATAGTAGTAGGCTTATTCTGTAGAATGGATAGGGCGCCTGGGTCCGTTCGCATGAGATAGCTACATTGGGTTATGCTGTTGGTATTGTCCTGATTGGCTCAGACCTTGACTCTCGATTCTGCTGTATCATCCTCAAGCAGATGGATACTCGGTCCCATTGTGCTATCTGCACTTGCTTTGACTATTCGGACTTCGGAGTGATTTTAAGTTGTATTTCTGTGTTTCGTCCACATTCATGTCCTTTGCGATTACTTTTTTTATTTTTTATTTTTATTATTATTATTATTATTATTATTATTATTATTATTATTATTATTACCATTATTATTTTATAGTTATTACTATTACTATAATCAGACTTGCTTCATTCACACCCTTCATGCATGTGAACGGCAGCGCAACGAACAGGCGACATACGCCCCACACAATACTCAGCGCCCAACAACTAGCTGTCCACACACCCTGGAACCTCTGGGTGTCCCGTAAACACAGACAGAAACGCACGCGCATGCACATAAGTGGCACTAATACAAAATGACACACACACACAGGTGAACAGTCAGGGGACGGACAGGCAAATAGACAATGAAAGACAAGCAGGCAAACAGACAATGAAAGACAAACAGGCAAGGACAGACGGAAAGGGCAGACAGGCAGATTGGACAGATAGGCACAGACTGATACACGGATATACAGTCACCCAACGACGGTCACTCTCTGACATATAGACACACTCACACACTGGCATAGA